TCTTAACCTCCAAACACCAGTGGGGGACCAAACCTAGAGGAGCTGGATCCCTGGAAGCCAGAGGAAGTGAAAAAAGGGATTGGAAATTATGGCTACTTGATGATGGGCTTGGAAGCATCAGAGACTAGCAGGAGATCAAGAAAACGATGGGCTTAATCTGCTTGTCTTTCAATTCCCTCATCTTCAAAATGCTACCTGGCAGCATGCTATGATAATTAAAAGTCTGGAAATATATACAAGGCACTTAAGACAGTTCTTGGAAAGTCATAAGCGCTTATAGAAATCCAAGAACATTGACAAATAATTATTTTCTTTGTTTTATAAATCAAGAATCTATGGCTCAGAGTTATTAAGGAGTTGCCAAGACACAGCCTTAGGGTAGGAAATCTGACTAAAAGGGATGGAATTCCAAATCAGATCATATTCCTCTGTATATAGCTTGGATCAGTGTATTGGGAAGTTCTGACTTACTTAGTGATTCCTCTTCTCGACACCAGGGTTGTAATTTGCACCAATGTGTTTTTTTAATAGCACTTGATTTATTTCTACCTTTTAAAATCATATTCATTCTAATTATTAAATATGCTCATTTATATCCCAGTTTATTTTTGGATTAGCTGTAGAACAACAACTCCCATCTTCAGGTATACCTCTTAAGGCACTTTGGAATGCAGTTACAAAGTTTATGCATCTGATATAATGAGTATGTTAGTGTCCATACATGTATTTATGTGCATGGGTGTGTTTTTACCATCTTAGAAATTTTCTGGTACCACCGTTAACCAAATCATTCCATGCAGGACTATGCTGATTGGAGAAGTAGTTGAATATAGTCAGAGGTTCTGTAAAGCACAAATGCTGAGTTTCTCACCCCTGGTTGTACTTCCTGGTTTGTGATTTATAGCACTATGGTAGAGGTGTGATTTACATTAATAGAGGCATGTGGAGGGCAGGTTAGCGACACTGGATTCTTTTGTGCTTGGCCATGAGATTTTCTAGAATGTCATAAGTCAGGTAGTTCAAATCCTGACTCTTAACAGGGCACTCATGGGCAACTCACTTAGTACCTCTGAGGATCTGTTTTCTTATTTGTAAAACTTGGATAAAGTTATCCTACCCAATATAGGGTTGCGACAAGGCTTAAATTAGGATATATTTGTAATGTGTTCAAAGTCTTGGAAAAATCTCCGAGTCCACTGCTGTTCCCTTTCCCAGGGCACCATGCATATAATTCAGGGGGCGTGGATGCTGCTGGTACCATTTCTAACCATCTCCGCTCATGAGCATACATACCTCTCTGGCTTTAGGCCACGCTCAGAAGCCACCTCTCCCTGTGGTTCTTGCCGATACCTCATTCCAATACCAGATTTATAAAGTCCTTATCTATGCTCCCAGAATGCTTCCCACCTGTCTCTCTCCTGTTAAATCTTCCTCTGGATCTCCATACGGTGAGCTTCTCAAGGACAAAGGTTGAGTTCATCTCTGTGTTACTAGACAATGAAAGTGAAACTCAATGCATTTTGTATTATAATATATATTGACTATTACTATAAATTGTCATCTCATCAGGGGTACAAAGTGTGTTGCTACTAATGCACATAAAGCAGGCACGGTCTCCAGAGAGGTGGAATTCTTGCTTCTGTTCTGTGTCCTCACCCCTACCCTGGCTCTTTTTTTATCTTAATGTTATATTTTCCTTTAAAATATCTGCAGTTTTCTCCTACTATGTGTGTTGCAAAAAAGAGAAATATCACTGAACGAGGCTTGCTTTTGTTTTCTGATTCTTTGTTAAATGGTTAAATGATTGTCTATTTTGAGTAGTGATATATAGCTGTTTCCATAGATACCTGTTCATAATAGCTAATTAGCCAAACATGTTTTCTGAAGCCATTTGAATGACATTTTTAAACATTTAGCTTTTATTCAATTAGTACATTTTTCTTATTTCTCTTTGGAAACGTTCATAAATGCTACATGATGCTTCAATAGATAAAATGTTATAGGATCAGGTGATTTTGGGTTCCTATGAGGCTGTGTCTGTTCATTACTCCACCTAGAAGTTCTCATTCTCTTTCATGAACTCCCAGAGCAGAACTCTCAACAACAAGGCACACTGGAAAACTGCTTATTAGTTGGAAAAAGCGTGTGGGGATACATTGTTTCACTGAAACTTCACAGAGAACTGAGGGATGTCTGAGGAAGCACAATCCTCTTTGTAGAGACAGGCATGCTGGCACTCCCCCATGCAGAAGCATGGTGGCATCACGTTGAAAGTTTGATGCCTGGGGCTGTGTGAGTGTGGGCGCCCAACAAATACCCACCTGAGCCAAGTTTATGCAGGTGACAAGTCCTCCTTCCTCTGGACCCATCACACTTCCGCGATTATTCCATTCCATTATGCTCCTGGTTTGTAACGAACTCAAGAGCAGTCACCACGTTGTACACTGCATTGTGCCTCACACACCTGGTTTCTATAAATTACGAGAGTCACACAGAAGCCTTTTCTTCCTTTCATTCAGATCATATTTATTGACCATCTATTATCTGACAGACGATAATGGACAAACATAATCCCTGCCATTAAGACATCAGTTTGCCCTTGTGTTCCCCCAAATTCTCTACCCAATATTTGATAATGATAGAGACGAGATGCAAAACCTGTTTCTTGAAACCAGGCTATTTGTAGAATGCCTCACTTAAATCAGCATTTGGTCCAATTAGCCATCCCTTGCTTTTCATCAAATATATTCCAAGTGGAATGAGCACCCTTCCTTCTTGTTGAGGCTGCCCCCACTCTTTGGTCATGAGGATCTCCTCTTATTTCCTAAACACTAACCACACTTAACTTCCTCTAAGCATAAATTATAGGAATTGAGATGAGTGTTTATTCATATTTATAAAAAAGCAAACAACTATTGGCCAAAGCTCTCCTCACCTCATACTCTCAGGTTCGATTCTCACACTATGAGGTAGATAGCCCCACAGTATCTATTTTAGGGATGTGGAAACTGGGAATCAGACAGGTGAACTAACATGGTTAAGTTCACACAGTGATTGACAGAACTAGAGTGTGAACTTCTTTTTTGTTGATACCCAAAACAATGTTCTTAAACCTCAGCCCCCAATGCACCTGTGCCAAGACTCTGCTTTGCTTCTCTTGCTCTGGAAAACAAAACAAAACAAAACAATAGTACATTTCTTATTTTCTTGAGGGTATGAGCAAAATGTGTAATGGAACACCCTCACATAGCGTTCCCTCTGGTACCATCCAGTCTGGATGCCACACAGCTAATGGATTCCTAGAACCTGGGAGGTCCTAGAGTCACATTGTTTCATTCTCTTTTTCTTTCCTATTGAAATTTGCCTGTGTTGGAAGGAGGTGTCTTTATGGGGAGATAGATAGCATGAGTAAGAAAAAAAAGTATGTAGTTTTAATGATGTCTTGAGCAACATTCTCAGAGGTAAGAGAAGTGAATATGGGGTCAGTTGAAATTGGACACCATCTCTGAACATCAGACTCCATGAAGGTCAAGTTTTCATAAGACTTCCTGATGGTACCATAGGTATGTGGTACCTAAATCAGTATCCAATGGTGCCTAAAGGTGTTTGTCCTCAGTTGGCAGCTGATATATATTTTTAAAGATTTTATTTATTTATTTGACAGACAGAGATCACAAGGAAGCAGAGAGGCAGGCAGAGACAGAGGGGGAAGCAGACTCTCTGCTGAGCAGAGAGCCCAATGCAGGACTCGATCCCAGGACCCTGAGATCATAACCTGAGCCGAAGGCAGAGTCCTAACCCACTGAGCCACCCAGGCACCCCAACAGCTGGTATTTTTTTAAACAAACATTTGCAACGAGCTTTTAGCCACTTCTTCATGCATAGTACAAGGAAGAATGGCTAAAAAGGAAGACCAGATGTCCCCTTTTATGGAAGGTTGCTTCGACCCTCACTCCCCTTGTGCTGGGTTACGGACATCTTCTCTGTACTTATTCACTTCCTCGCACATGACTCTCTCTGAGTACAAGTCTACCTTTGTGTTATCATTTTGTATTTGTGGTTCCATCCTCCCCCCCACCCCCACTGTATTGTTGGCACTTGGTATTGGGGGAATTTATTTGATTTATAGATCTGGTGTGTTACGCAGGACATGGTTTAAAATCCCTGCTGAACAAATATTTGCTGAGTGCATAGACATATCCATATACCACTGGACGAGATAAGTAAGAGATGCCTAAAACTCTTCAGTGTGATGTGTTAAAATGCAAAAAAAAAAAATACTAATGCAAGGGGAAAAAACAATAAGAAGAACAGTGAGTACTAAACTGCGAAGAATAATCAGAAATCATTGTTTTAAAGCCTTGGGATTTTCCTCAGTGTAGGTAGGTATGAGTGAGAGTAGCACCAGTGATTACCTCTCTTAGACAAAGGCAGAGCCACACAGTTACACAAAGAGGAGTGACTGGTTACAAATTACTGGTCATCTGGTGAGGACTGATGGGTTACCGTGGAGCTAGTGTCCCTAACGGCTGAGCCCCAAGTCTTTTTGTTGAGCCCAGACAGCACAGCCAACAAGTTCACTAATCTGTTTTTCTGCTGATTCTGGGCAATTTAATAAAAATCTTGAGTTCCTTCTTCTGGGGTCCTGACCACTTGGTCTATGCCTGTGTGAGTAATAAACCTCTGAAATACTTGATTTCGCTTGTGGGGAGTGTTCTGAAGCTCAATACCTCAAAAGGGGAAGACCAAGTCTGACCTTAATAGGCAACTTGCCAAAACAACCACCCCACCATTGTGTACTAGAGATGGCACCAATGACCATGTTCTGCCATCAGACCTGTGAGTGAGGCTGCAGGTTTTTCTATTAAAGCAGTGACCCTTACATTTTCAATGATACAGATAGAACTGGATGGGGATGGGGCATGCTTGAGCCATGGAGCTCTCTCAAGAGCCTCCTTTTGGCTGCTGCTGGAGTCCCTGGGGAGTGCTGGAGGCCCATGGCTCTGGTGAGGACAATTTGAAACCATCACAACATATCTCTGGCATTCTGTATGGCCCCGTGGATTTGGGAAAAGTTTTCAATTAGCAATAATCGCGCCTCGGATAAACCTCATTGGCTACGATACTGCCACTGCGCAAAGCTTGGCCCTGTGGATTTGACTGGAAAATTTTGACCAGTCAAAATGCAAGACTAACGGAGTTCATTTGCACATGGCCTGAGTCCTTTCCAATTAACTGTTCTTTTTCTGATAAGTTCATTGTTTAGTAGATTGCATTTGAAAAACACAAAATAGCACAAAGAAGCATCATGCTCAAATAACCTAATATACGTATAACAAAAAAGGCCAAAATAGAGATGAAACGGTGCACGAAAAATACCTTAAAAATTGGACACTGAAAATTTGGAAAACAAAAATATAATTCTCTTTGCTGAAATATTGGAGGTACCTGTGCATTACTGAAGGGTCAGAAAAGCAGCTGACATACTTGACATGGAGTTCAGAATCAGTCATTATTTTGAATCTTTGTTCTACCATTGCACAGCTGTGTGATTGCATAACTGTTTGTCTGTTGATTTATATATCCAAGCCTCAGTGTTCTTATATGCAAATTGAGAGTGAAAGCTAGCATAGAGTATATGTCTGTTTAACATCCTTTCTTTGACGACACTACCATATCCATTTGGTCCTGATAGGTCTGTCAATCAGGACCCTATTTCCCATCAGTCCTTAAATATCATTTTTGACATCATTACAGGATGGGCATTTGAGCTCATCACCTTGATCATGAGAAAGTGTTAACAGAAAAAATTTGTTCCAAGCAGAGCCCATGAGTGTCCTCCCTGAGACTGGTCTATGAACTCGGTGAAAGAAAAATTTCTTGAGGTTTGGATCATGAGTCATAGGCTCTTGGGACTCCAGCAATGATGCCTCCTCTCCTGGGAAGAGCTTGCCTAACTAATGACAAAGCCAACCCAGGAAGATGAAAGGCAGGAAAATGGAAAGGGAAAGCAAAGTCAAAACAAAGTTCAAAACCTCATTTGAACGTCTGAATCCAGCCCTGCCTGACTCTGGTCCCAAGCTTGAACTTCACAGTGAGCGCTTGACGAAATCATGTCTTTTGTGAGTTAAAATTGAGATGCTGTCATTTGCAGTGGCTGGAGTTCCAATAAAAACACCTAACTTTCAGATTATTTTAAAATTATAGGTTGGGGTGCCTGGGTAGCTCAGTGGGTTAAAGCCTCTGCCTTTGGCTCAGGTCATGATCCCAGGGTCCTGGGATCAGGACCCGCATCGGGCTCTCTGCTTAGTGGGGAGCCTGCTTCTCCCTCTCTCTGCCTGCTTCTCTGCCTACTTGTGATCTCTGTCTGTCCAATAAATAAATAAAATCTTAAAAAGATAAAAAATAAAATTATAGGTTTACCTGGTGCAAATAACACATTATATGTTTAAAAAAAAAGAATTAGAGGTTTAACACAGGAAACTTGTGGCACATAGTAATCATTTCAAAAATGGCAGGTCCATTTCATTATTTCTTTAGATGAAGGAAATGGAATGTTCATTGACCAGTTTGCCCTGGACTAAGCTCAATTCTTTTTCTTCTTTGTTTGTTGCCATTTTAAAACCTCAAGGCCCATTGAAATTGGTGTATCCTAACAGACTTCCCACCTACTACATTAAATATATTTAGTAGAACTTACAAATATTGTGATGTTCACATTTCTATTCATATTCTATTCTGCTAATAAAAAGAATTTCCTTTAAATGGAAGCAGGAGGGTTATGAACTTAATAATAGTTCTAATAATGCTCTTGTTTATAATAGTTTAAGGCTCTTTAATGAGGAAGGGGGAGAACTAATATTTATTAAGTGCTCATTACCTTTCAGGAAACTAAGTGTTAATAAGTGCTTTATCTTGTCTGGGTCTCTCTCCAAATACATAGTCCAGCTTTCCATTCTTAATACATGGGTGAGAAACTGAGGCTGAGAGATCTTGAATACCTTAACTAACTCGATAGAAATAAAGAGAGATGGAATTGATATTCAAGCCTAATTATGTCTTCCCCCAAATCCTGTGCTCTTTCTAATGTGACAAAGTGTTTCTCTAAAGAATAAAAAGAGGTATCTACTGGGAAATTAAGAAGCAATAATGTTCTTCCAGAACAGAATTTTGGAAACCAGCTTTAGCTCCTACATGGCTGTCCAAGACAAATTTGCTGTAGGATCCTTGCATTTAGCTATGCCAGGTTTCGCCTTGGAGTATCTGTACCAGCTGTTACTTCTGGCAAAACTGCTTTTCCTACCAGCCTTCTCAGAAAGAAGGACTGATTCCTCCCTATGTTCCTATTTCAGCTCAAAGGCCAACTGCTCAGAGAGGCCTTCCCTAACCACTCACCCCAAATTAGCCTCTACCTCCCTCTGTCTCTTTATGCCGTTATATTCTCTCTGTAGAACTTACAACTAACCATATTTTTTGTTTGTTCATATCCATCTCTCCTCCACTAAAACCTTATCTTCACAACCAGAAGGAAACTTTTCCTCCTTTTCTACCCCCTGAATCTCAAAGTCCTTCTAGAGTACTTGTTATGTAATATGGATACAATACATATCAGTTCCATGTTGAGCAAACCACTTTTGTTATGAGGCTTCAATGAGGCACAATGCAATCCAGACATTATTGTTCTACCCTTCTGGTCCCTCATCCCCACTGAGTTCCGATACATGCTGTGAGCTGTCCACCCTCCCTTTGCTTGCTAGGTACAATGGTGAATGGCAGGGTGTGCTGGGGAAGTGGGGCAGAACAGGCTTCAAAACCTTTCCTCTAAGCTATGCAATCTTCAAGAGAAATGGCCATCCTACAGTCTTCGGGGAGGATATAGCAAACACCAGGCCACTGGGACCATTAACACTGCACAGAGCTCTGATCAGAGGCAGTCAAAACTGGGAGGTTTGCTGGTGAGCTGGGATTAGGCAAGCCTGGATCCTGAGTGCTGGCTATGTTAGGCATCTCATCCAAGGCAGGTCAAAGCAGGAAGAAGAGATGGGTTACCCCACTCAGGGTCACTGAGGAGAGGCAGAGTCAAAAGGCAGGGAGAACAGAAACAATCTCCAGGTCTGAGATAGTAGGATGAGAGGAGGAGTATGAGATGTAGCAAGGGCCAGGAAGTGGCTCTGGACCCCCAATCTATAGAGGAGCAGGTTGTGAACATGTGCAGAGTGTCCTGAGTGATAGGCTGTGACCCTGACCCAATTTGGTTATTCCACAGAACTTGGCTAGTGCTGGACAGAGGCCAAGGGACAGGGTCAGGTGGGCTCTGACTGCCTCATACAACTTACTTTATTATGGAGAGAAATGTGTGCTGGGTTGGGAACCAGTACATTAGCATCTCGTACAAACCAAGAACTCCATTGCCCTCAATACTTCCCTCTCTCCAAACCCTGCACCCCAATGTTATCATTAATTATCAAACTCAACCATGTAAAAATTCCAGTTTTCTTTTCTAAAACTTGACTTTTCCTGGTTCAGCCAGACTGGCCATCCTGATCTGCTGCAAAAATCTGTCAACTGATCTCTTTGCCTTCAGTAACAGCCTCCAAATATCTTGTTTCCAGAGTGAAATTCTTTAGAAATTTTGACCTTAATCTTCCTGTCCTTGAATAAATGCCTTCAATGGCTTACCACTGCCCACAGGATAAAAACTAAGCCTCTTACCTTGGCAAAATATGTCCTTTATGATCCTTTATGGCCAGGCTCCTCCCACTTATGCTATTCTTCTCTCCCTGCTGAATAATAACATGCTTGGAGTTCTGTAAGCTCTCTCCTTTGTGATTTTTCATGCACTATTTCTTCTGTGGGATATTCACTTTCCTCTACTCTCTACCTGCTACATTTCCAGCACTCTTCAGGCTCTGTGCAGTTGTCACTTCTTCTCTGGCATCTTTCCTGAAGACCTTCCCTCACTTACTCTAATGTAGGGGCCCCTGACTAGTCTCTGCAGAGCCCTCTGAGCATGCTTGTGTCCTTACCCTTAGCCTTTCTCCTATAAATGCCTTTTGCCAGGCTCTAAAATGTCATGATCCCATGGTCCACCACTGAGAAGAAACAAGACCTCAAAAGTGTGTGTTTGGAAAAACAGATGCTTACTCCAGTTGGGAGGGGCGGGAAGATGAGGACACTATGGGCATGAAGAACCTCCCCAATTTCAAAGTTCTCCAGTGGAACTCAGGTGGTTATCATGGAGAAAGTTTCCTCTGAAATCCCACACCAGGAGTTTCATTAATTTGGTTTTATTTGTTTTATTGGTTGTGAGCCATGATACTCTAAGGGTTTGTCCTGCAACTGCTCAGGCAGGGTCATAATGGGAATGTGTGTTTGTGCAAGCATGCAGGACAGTGCACTCCTCTTAGAAGAACCTTGCTGTGAAAAACATGTCACCCAACAGTGCTCGCTCTGGGACAGTTGGCTGCATTCACGCACAAACCCCTTATCTCACTGTGGAGTGGAAATCTGCAGTTCTGTGCTGGCAGATGTCCTTGAACCACACTTGTGACATCCTCTGACTGAGTGTTGGAGACCAGGCAGGGTATTAGGAGAAGTCTGTTTTTACCTGGTATGGAAGATTGGCACACGACATAAGACTCTTATGTGTTACTTCTCTTTTCCCATGGCCTGCATTAATATCTACCTCCAGGCTTAAAAATAGTCCTAAAATAGGAGGTGTCTGATGAAAGGTCAAAAAGAACCAGAAGTTTCAGCCAGTCTGTCCCTCCTGTCTTTGTGACCTTGGCCAAATCACTTCCTCTCCATTCTACATTAAAAGGACCGATTAATCCTGTTCTGTGTTCTTTCCTGGCATTTGTGAAGATTAAATGTGATAATGGTTGGAAAAGAGCTTGGAGAACTGTAAATTGATGTACAAATGGAAGGGATTAAGGGATTAGTTTCAGTTCAGTAGAGATTTTCTCTTTTATAGAACAACCCACTCCACGTCAGCCCCCGGGACACCCACACATGTAACAACCGCCCGCGCTTGTGCCTTAGCATCCCCCGCTCTCTCTCTCGGAGTGGTTTCCTCAACCTGCCTCCTGCACTCGCCTTCCTCCACCCATGAAGATCGTTATCCAACACGACTGTAGAGAAACT